GCCTCTTTGTACCGATGTTCATGTGTTTAAATAAATAATAATAATAATAAATTTTACATCAAATTCTTTTATTTATTCCTTTTTAATTCAGGTCGACCAGAAACAAGATCATGTGTACAAGAAAATCTATGCAAAAATGGTGCTACATGCGTTGATTTAGGTAATAGTTTTAATTGTATTTCTCGTCCTGGTTTTGATGGTCAATATTGTGAAAATGAAATTAATGAATGTATTTCAATGCCATGGTGAGTTCACTTATTATGTATACAACTTTGTTTAATTAATGTCGTAAAAAAAGTTAATGTCTTACGCGTGTTATCCCTCGTAGACGAGTGTAGGTCGCCAACCAAGATTTTCTATTTTTTTGTCTTTCAGTTACAATAATGGAACATGTAAAGATCTTGTTAATTCTTTTGAATGTGATTGCCCAAAAGGTTTTATTGGAACGAATTGTAGAATAAGTAAGTTATGAAATTTTCATTTTTTGTCTTACAATGATGTAATGAATTTGACATGTTGACGATATTCATGATCTGTCATGAAACCTCATTGGTGTAGATACAAAGTACTGAATGATAGCAGTTTACTTTAATGTTCTAAGGAGCTGCGACTATTTCATTAGTAGTTCCATAACTCAATAGAGGGATATTAGAATATGATCAGTAGGGGTTTTGTGTAGATTTCAGCACTTTTTCAAAGTTGAAATCATGAGAAAATTCAAGCTAGACCACCATGGAAAACCTGGAAGCACTGCAAGACCGTTTCGTCCTATTATGGGACTCCTCAGCAGTGCGCATCCACGATCCCGCACTAGCGAGATTCGAACCCACGACCTACCAGTCTCGAGCAAGAGCCCTGATTTTTCAAAGGATTAAATATGTCTATTCATGTGTTAATCTTTTCGATGTTCTATTCTGTTCTCTATTTATCATTCGATAAATATGTTGGGGATGTTAAATCCCCAGAACTGACTTGGTAAATAACTTATTTTTATAAATTTTGAATTTCCTCGTTTTCAGGCCAAAAGCGCTCCTTTCACCTTCAAGTCGTATTTCCCACTTGAAAATATCTTAAACGCTATTGATCCGTAGTATCTTTTTTAGTGTGCTATTTTGTGATGCTTCCCAATGACAATTTTATGCTATATATATACGTCTGATTTATTCCTATTGTGATTGTTTGTGCTTCGGGCTGATTACGGAATATATTTTCCCCTATTTCATCTTGGAATTCTCACTCTAGTTAGCGGGGCCTGGGACAACGGATTAGAATAGCCTATCGTGTCACTGTATCATTGACCTTCATTCCGTTTACCGAGTAAGGAGAAATCCTAATTAGCATCAAGCATAACAGAATAAGATCCTCAATTTTCTAGTTGGTGTCTTTTTAACAAGGTCCGTTTTTTTAACCAGATAAGGTTGCTAACTACATGTCTAACAGTCCTACTCCATCCGGATTTAGAACTGGTAGTAACTCTAGAAGCGCTTCTTTTTTAATGAATGAGCACCAATTAGATCAATAATAAGTCAAAAGCAGTTGAAGAATTCCAGTTCACAAATTCATGTTAATGATTTTGAACCATATTTGCTTTTTAATGTCAAACTAAACCTTAGTGAATAGAATTGAAGTCGATTGAATGGGAATTTAACTTAACATTTTAAACTTTGATCATATAAAGAAATGTTTTTAACTAGAGTTTGATCAATATTTAATGCTTTACTGTTATAACTTTTACACCCTTTGTCAATTATCACGTGATCAGATCACCAATCAGAATATCGAATTATATGACTTTGGCACTGTGCCAAACCAATGACATATCAACCCACACTAGCAGCCTTGAGCCAAATCTGAATCCTTATTGGGTTTTTTTCGTCTAGCCTAGACTCTTGAGTCTAGAATGCAATTTCAGCCTCCACCTTAAGTGGTTTCTGTACAAGTAATCCAGACCGCGGCACAACATAAAATAGAAAAGTGATAATTATCCAAGATCAAGACGTAGATGGCTGTGAGCGTGGGAAACTGTAACTAATTAAGTTAGGATTAAGTTAAGAATAGTAAATCGCATAACAGTAGCTATTAGGTCAAATGAAAGCTTATGACATAAGGAATCAGAATATATTCATAGACTAGTTACTCAATAATTATCCAATAAAAATGTATGTGATAACAGTCCACAACTAATTTTAGCAGTTCAGGTTCAGGTTTTCCAATCAACTCCCTACAATCTCCTAATATCAATAAAATGGTTCACTTGATATTCAGTCATTTAGACTAATAGCTACACACTTATTGTATCTATAAAATACGCCTATCTGTTTCACAAATGTTAATATATATAATAAATGTTATATCCTTGCGAAGACATAAGTAAGGGTAACTCCCAGGACCTATTATTGGGCGATTATTCTATACATATATTGTTATTGTTTAACTATTGAGTAATTAGATTGTGTGTATCTATATTCACCTTATTATTAGCTCTATTTTAACCTATGGATTATTATTATACGAATAATTGTTCCTAAATTATACTCAGTTTATTGATTAATGTCTCCCACGTTCACAGTCACATTTGGCCTGATCTTGTACAAATATTCTTTTCTATTTTATGGTGTGATGTCTGTCTGGTATATAAACAGAGTGTGCTTGAAATAAACGATTCGCATAGATTCGCATCACAGAAGCTGTCATTGGTGTTCTGGACTCAAGTGGGAGGGCCAAGCTGAAAAAGGACCAATAAGGACTCCAGATTACTCATACTGATCGAACGTCATTGATTGACACAGTATTAAGCTTGAAAAATTAGTATTTCCATTGGTGGATACTTCATGTGATGAAAGCCGGACATAAAATCGATAACGAATTGTCATACGTCCCTTTTGTTTATTTTGTAAAGTCATAACAAATTGGCGACGGCATTGGTCAAAACATAAAAATAAACCCTATAGTGTTACTGAAAAGTTAATATATACAATCTATTCATATTTATTGATAGGTGTTAATGAATGTGCTTCATATCCATGTTCATTTGGATCAACTTGTATTGATCGTGTTGGAACATATGAATGTATTTGTCCAGAACAACGATATGGTCAACATTGTGATGAAGTGATTATTGAAACAGAACCAAAGCCACCAGCATGTAATTTTTATGGTCGAATTTATGATCATGATGATAATTGGACGTATAGTTGTCAACGTTGTCATTGTAATAAAGGACAAATTATATGTAGTGATGTAAGTATATACTACTACTACTACTACTACTACTGCTACTACTACTTATAATAGTTATAATGATTTTATTGTGGAAATGAGTGAAAAAATAGGGCGGGTGGTAATGAATTTATTTCATTTGAATGGTGATTTTCATTTCAACATTTGGAAAATGGCAAGCTAATCAATAAGAGGAATATGTTTATTCAATCACACTTGATGGTGAAACTCTGGAAGAAGTGGAAACATTCACGTACCTGGGAAGCATCATTGATAAACATGTAGGATCAGATGCAGATGTAAAGGAGAGGATTGGCAAAGCAAGGACAGCATTTCTACAATTGAAGAACATATGGAACTCAAAACAATTGTCAACTAACTTCAAAGTGAGAATCTTCAACACGAACGTCAAGACAGCCCTACTGTACGGAGCTGATACGTGAAGAACTACTACATCCATCTTCAAGAAGGTACAAGTATTTATAAACAGTTGTCTGCGCAAAATACTCAACATCCATTGGCCGGATACTATCAGCAACAGCGTTTTATGGGAGACGACAAACCAGCTTCAAGCTGGTTTGGAAATTAGGAAAAGACGTTGGAAGTGGATCGGGCATACATTAAGAAAATTACCAAACTACATTACGAGACAATCCATAACTTGGAATCAGGAAGAGAAGCGGTAAAGATGAAGGCCTAAGAACACATTGCTTTGGGAAATAGAATCAGATATGAAAAGGATGAGTGCTAACTGGAAAAAGTGGAAAGGATTGCCCAGGACAGAGTTGATTGGAGAATGCTGGTGAGCGGTCTATTCTCATCCACGAGGGGTAACAGGCGTAACTAAGTAAGTATGACTAAAGGAAATAATTTTATGTAAGCAACAGCAGATCTAAATTCCGTTCTATTTTTTACATTCATCGATCGGTGTGAACCAATCTTAATCATTATCGTATTCAATGATGCTATCATTAATCAATTTAAAGACTGACTGATAACCTGAAATATTTACACCAAATAATCACTAAGTAGCAAAGAATGTGATATTCATCTACTCAATATTATTGATAAGATTCTTCCTACAAAAATAAAATCAGTCCGCCTAGGAATTCTCGAGAAAGTCTTCAGCAGTTGAGGAAAGTATGAAAATATTTCACATAACCAGTGTTTTATGAGAGCTTCATAGAGAGTTCTAGAAAAACGATGGATTGTGTCATATCTTGACTTAATAACTACTGAATTTCACACTAGATTTAGCAATTACATCCAGCTGACGAGTCCCAGTTAAGAAGAAATACACTATCCTTTCTTTACTTATAATACTTTCTCATATCTCTACATATTCTGCATTTTTCTTCTTATCCTATGGATTTTTGTGGTTATTGGTCATGTTTACAAGTAATTAAAAAAAAATGATCGTTTTGCTTGTAAATCAAACGAAATTCGTCTTATTATATCATTTAGTTTAAATGATGAATGTTTTATACCACCATGTTATTTACGTACAATTTGTTTAAATGCTAATCAATCAATTACGGAACAATTAAAAAAGTTATTACCAAATTATCATTTTAAATTAGCATTACCTAATTGTCGACCAAATAATTTTATATTAAACAATCATTGTGCTAGATTATTATTACATTTTTCAAAATTACGTATGTAATATTCAATTACTGTAAATGACGTATGTAATGCTGTGGAAAATTGACCATCATTAAAAAAATATCATCAATATGAAAGTGACTGAATTGGTATCGGTATAAGTTGTGATATAAAAGTGGATTATTCTAGAAAACAACAAAATATCATAGAAGTAAATTGAATTTATTTATATTTCATGTTAAATGGGTATTCTTTGTTGAGGAGGAAGAAGACCACTGATTCTTTTTTTATAACATAAATTTTACTACTTTTCTCTTATTAAGTAGTTAAAGTGAAATTGCATAAAAACAATGAACGATGGAATATCTGTGGAACACCATGACAACATATGAATAAGGACTTTAGATGGAATTATGCCCAGTACAGTCAATTCTTTTAGTGTAAGCATAATATTTCATTGAATTTTGGAATTAAATTCAATAATTGGATACATAGAGTCATTATTATTCAATATGATTTCATAATGTATGCACCCAAATGCTACATAATTACAAAATCCTATTAGTGTAGTGAATGAGAACGCAAGTGAGGACAATCAAATGTATTGAAACATAAAATTACAGAATCACTTAGTCAAATTTGAAAACCATAAATTAAATACTTCATTTGAAAAATGTTAATCAATCGTCTCAGATTTCATTGTTCCTTCATTTCCACATTATTCATTCACTGTTCTCATTCTCTTTACTTCCATCTTCTTAACTTTCTGTCACCAGCCATTTCACTTTCGATCAATGACATATACTACTTATATCTGTGGACATCAGTAGCACTTACCAATCTATGAACCTATATAGATCTAATCAAAAACTGTTAGAGACAATGATGCATTCGAGTCACTGGATTTAGACACTAACCCATTATATTTACATTACATATCAGTACTGTCGGATTCAAAAGTACATCAAGCTAACTGCATTCAACCAACCACACAAACAACAACAAATAATGCTTCCAAGCTGGCCATCCGATTGAAAAGTACATTTAATATCCCTTTCTGATAAAAACCGGATCGTTGCTGCTACATTGACGTGGTGGTCGGGCTTACTTTTCGTGATGAACCAATCGAGATATACTGCCTCGAACAATCGTTCCTCAAGATCCTACCATGCCAGACAGTTTGACTGAAGAGCGGTCAGATTAAAAGCAGCAAACCCAAGGTCCGAAGGTGAAGTCGTACTACCGACTGTACAGAGGTGTGACGGCAGTAAGCTGTTTCCTTTCGAAAACCTGCATAACAGCGATGCTGCTTTCCCACAAGGAGGGATGGGGTTTGAAAATGTCCACCCTATAAGCGCACACCTCGCCTTATCCCATGGATATCCGTCTCCTTCGAAAAAGCTCCAGCAAGTACGGAGATAACACTAAAACTACCCACGAAAAGGTTGTGTGTGACCGATCCCAAGCATTTGTCCCTTGGGCACTGCGGTCACGCTTTCAGGTCATTGAGACCACTTCTAACCCGATTTTTTTTCGGGTACCTCTAAAAGAACCCTTTCACGGTGTGGACGATCGGGAAGTGGTAAGTGCCTAATACCTCCAACAGCACTCAAGATCACTGTTTTCATAATCAATCTCCTTCTTTGATTCCCATTATTACTTCCATCTCGACTTTCGACACTAAACTTCCTCTTTCGGCTTCCTCCTTAAGTGTCAACATGGCCGATGATTCTAGTGCGCGACACACTGTCCTAGGTCTACTGAAACCTCTCCAAACTACACATTGGGGGCCTTCAACGTACGTATCCTAAGTCAAATCGGTCAACAAGCCTCCTTGGTTATGACCCCAGAAACTCGTACCATTGATGTATGCTTTATCTCCGAAACACGCATATAGGATCCCAGTGTGGTCGCTCACTTGACATCACCTCGTCAAAATAGACAACCAGCGTAATACACACTTCGTGTATCTGGCGACTCGAAGGATAGTTCTCGTGGAGAGGCTTGACAGAAGACTGTCGCTCATATTGAAATGCTTTTTTAGACTCTGATCACGCTTTAATACGAGCGCGCATTTGTTTGCACCTCACTAGGCTCAAGAAAAATATACAAAGAAGACTCATTAGGATTGAACTGGAGGACGAGAAATCCAAATCTATATTCCAGAAACAACTGAGTTCACATCTAGGCAGTTCTGTAAACGAGACTGACCCAGATGCTGCTTGGAAAGACATACAAACAGCTGTGGAAACAGCAGTCACATCTATTAGTTATTTAAACCATAGGGTTCCAAAAAACAAATGGATTTCTTCCAAGTCTATTTCACTGATGGATTAGCGTAAACTCATCCCATCAGGCTCTGAACACGACGAAGAGCGCAAATAAATCAAATGTAGGTTGACTAAAAGTCTAAGGAACGATCGTTAGCGGTGATGGGTAACGAAAGCAAAAGAGATGGAAAAGGCAGCGTTTGTAGGCAACACCAGACAACTCTTCAGACTAATAAAGGAAACCGGAATTAATAAGTCAATTGTTAGTGAACCGATCTCAGAAAAAGACGGAACCCTTATCTGCTGTCAGTCCAGACGTTTAGATCGATGGGCAGAACACTTTAAGGAGCACACTTTAAGGCCTTCAGCTACTGCAAAACTACCCACTATTCCCAGAGAGTCTGAACGGACCATTGAAGTAACTCCCCCCCTCTAGGAGCTGGACGTAACTCCATCCGACTGGTCACAATCACTGATTGTCTCAATATATAGGGAGTCCAAATCATCCTGCGATAACCATAGAGGGATTAGTCTGACTAACATAGCATCAAAATACTAGCCTCAATAATTATCGGACGCTTAACTAAGACTCGTGAACTCCAAACACGAGAAAATCAGGCTGGCTTCAGACCCAGTTGTGGTTGCATCGACCACATATTCACTATTCTTCAGGTTTTAGAGCACAGACACGCTTATCGGCGTCCGACAATGATAGTTTTTCTTGACTTGAAAGCAGCATTTGACTCTGTAGACCGAGAGGTTCTGTGGCAGTGTCTATCATTATCACTATCAGTCGAGTCAGAGCTTGTGACGAACTGTCATCTGATTTTACAACTTCAAGTGGTGTCCGACAAAGTTGTCGACTATCCCCATTGTTGTTTAACTTCATTATAGACCTATTGCTGGAAATAACACACTCGTCGGCTAAATTTTCGGGAATTGATCTTCTACAAGGAAGTTCACTTATCGACTTGGAATACGCAGATGAGATTGTGTGGTGTTTAAATAAATCAATGACTTCTTCGTATTGAGGACTGTTGTAATTTTGAATTCCAAATACAATACTTTCGTTCGGGCTTATCTAATACTTCTTGATTACGTTGCGTTATTCCTGGGATTACTAGTTTATACTATAATTCAAATACTTCTAATTATCATATTGGCGTCGCGATTGATCCTGTGATGGAACGGTTGGATATAAATTCAGGTTTTAATGCTTTTGAGGAGTACATATACTCCTCATGCATGTACTTCCCATGCATGGGAAGGATCGAAATCTGAGCTATGACCAAGGAAGATGATGAGGATTTTAATATTGTGGCCCATTTCCTTACATTCATCGGGAAAGAAGCATACAGCCTTATAAAGATTTTGGCACTTCCAGACAAACCGATTTCACTCCCCTATGCAACTCTCAAGCAACTGCTGTTGGATCATGTAAAGTATACAAATTCCGAATGCGGTAAAAAAGGAAAATCCGATAAAATGACTCGTCAGAACATCAGGAATTCCACTTATTCAAATAGTCGTCGTAGTTCGATGCGTAATGAAAGTTATTCAGATAAGATTTCATTGAGTTGTGAAACAGTCCATGATGATGAGCACGAGTTTAGTAAATGCATGTTCTGCGGCAAGTTTCACCCATGTAATTCATGTATATTTCGTAATTCTAAATGCTTTAACTGTGGTATAACTGGACACATTCAGTCAGTTTGTAATACCATGCTTCATTTTGCTGAAAGTAATGCTAAGATGGATGCTTCTAATGATCAGTTATCTTTATTTAGAAGTGGTATAACGTCACATAGCAGTCCAGAGTTAAATGAAACTCAGAATCATTGTGAGACAAAAATTTTTAACCAACAAACTTATCGGATTTCTCATGATATTGAACCAGATATGGTTTGTCGTAATAATTCACATACTTCTGATGGAATTTCTTACAACTCTGAGAATAGAATGTTAAATGAGTCAAATCATGATCAAAAACCAAATTCAGTCATGGTAGATGTTGAATTCCCTGATGATCCATTACCTAATGAAACTCTTAATCAATTTGAGGAAAATATTTCAGAAGAATCGAATTCTGATATCATATCAAGTGTCAGTGGTCCTCACAATGAATTTATCTCTAATGATATTCCTCATGAATGTGACAAATATGTTTCTTATGAGTTGAATTCTAGTCATATTTCTGATGTTATTGTGTCATATGTTGGATACTCTCACGAACAATGCATGTTGAATAGAATCCCTAGTCAGGGGTATAATGAATCAGAGGGGATAGCAAATTTACCGAAATAATCAGAGAACCAGGTTGTCCAGAAGTGAAGTTTGCACAGACAGAGAATCCAAATCAAGTCCAAGATTATCCTAATGAATATGAGGCAGATGAATGTTTTCTATTCGATTGTTTCGCAGGTAAATCAAGCCGAATTGAATCACATGTGTTAATTACATATATCAGTGCATATCCATCTGTGTATTCTAATATGAATAACAAAAAGAATATGTATCATGATTTTTATTCAAATCAAAGTCACATGATGGAATACTTCAAATTATATATCAGTGTTTATCCCCAAATACTCACATACAGTAGTCGATGCGTAAGATTTGAGAAGATAATGCAAATTGGGAACGTCATATTGGCTAAAACATTGCGAAGTAAGGACCCAACATTATTTCGTGGGGGAGGATATTGTTGGAAAGTCCGTGATGCAAATTCTAAATATCAATGGTGCTGATTGTATACAATTCCAGAACCCAGGTTAGTCTGTTCCAATTTCGGTTGTTAATTCTAATACTAATGAGTGCATTCTAGATAAATAAGAGTCTACATCCAATACACTTTCGGACCGATGTAAGATGAACTTAAGAAGAATACGAACAATTGATTACAGACACTTACACTCCAATTCGAGCTGTGGCGGTTGTGGTGTTTAAATAAATCAATGACTTCTTCGTATTGAGGATTGTTATAATTTTGAATTCCAAATGCAATACATTCGTTCGGGCTTATCTAATACTTCTTGATTACGTTGCGTTATTCCTGAGATTACTAGTTTATACAATAATTCAAATACTTCTAATTATCATACATAGTCCTGTTTGGTGAAGACGCTGACAAAATGCAGAGTACTCTGTTAGAACTGAGTAATAATGCCAGGATGTTTGAGATGCGTTTCTCCCCATCTAAATGTAAGTTGTTACTCCAGGACTGGCCTGTGTCAACACCTGAACTAAGGATAGGGGGCGAAGTAGTCGAACGCGTCCACAACTTCACTTATCTTAGAAGTCTCATCAGCCCTAATGGGTTGGTGTCTGACGAAATCTCAGCACGGATTCAGAAAGCTCGTTAGGCTTTTGCCAACTTACGTCACCTGTGGCGAAGACGAGATATCCGTCTATCAATTAAGGGACGAGTATACTGCGCATCAGTTCGCTCTGTTCTACTTTACGGCTGTGAAACATGACTATTAAGAGTAAAAGATACTCGTAGGTTACTAGTATTTGACCACAGATGTCTCCGAAATATTGCTCTCATCTGCTGGGATAACCGGGTAAGTAATAATGTGGTTAGACGCAGGATATTAGGGAATGATGGTAAATCAGTTGGTGGGATTGTGAGTCTTCATCGACTGAGATGGTTGGGCCACTTGTTACGTATGGTTGAACACCGATTACCATTACACGCAATGCTGACTAGTGTAGGGGATGGTTGGAAAAGAGTTAGGGGTGGCCATACCAAAACGTGGCATCAGTGCTTAAAGTTTCTTAACTTCTAGTCTGAGCCATGTCGGTAGATGCAGAATATTTGGTTGGGGTCCACGTGACTATCATAACCAATGGTTGTAGACTCAGTGTGACATGGCTCAGAATCGATCACAATGGTGTAGATGTATACGCTCTTTGTTCTTCCCTTAAACCATGAGATTAAAATTGCTCTATATCTTTCTTACTTTCTGTATTATATCCTTAAATGCAATCTCACTTTTATATATTACCGCCATAGAATTAACTACTTCTATGAGTTCGGTGTTCGTGATGTTGTATCAATGAGGTATGACAACTTGGACCGATGCATATATGTGCCTGGTCCTGCGTCGTAGATGACTGACTTTCTGATAAAAGTGTTGTTTGTACTAAAATTTGTAATATCTGGTTAATATCTGCTTCCCACACATACAGTGACAATGACATCTTCGTTTCTGAACTTCGGTTTCGTACTTAGTCTTAATACAGAATCGTGTTAACTGAAGTTTTTCATGGATTTATATTGAATTTTACAATCATAAGCACGTAACATGATTCACCAATGTTGGAAAAGACTAGCAGTATATACCGAGATCCCGAACTTTGACCCCAAAATATAAAGGAGGGTCTTGTAGTCGATGAACAATGTAAATGAATACCCACAAATCGTTTTATTAAGCAGCTTCACAGAGGAAATCAAAGTCAACTCTTCCTTTACTAGTCGAATATACTTCCGTTCTTTCACATTCAGAGACCGCATTATAGGTTTTGCCTTACCATCTTAAAAACGATGGATGATAGGAGCAGTAATACTATAAATGGAAGCATCAGTGGAGAAAAGTTTTTCCAGTTTCGCGTTAAAACAAGTCAATAATAAATCTTGACTTTATTAAAGGAACTTCAATATTGGTCTGAACACTTCCATGTTGCACAAGCTGTTGAGAGCTGATTTGATGGATGGCTTAGTGTTTGGATAGACAGAAGAAATATACCATAACCTCCGATAATATCCAACAAAGATCATACTGTCATTAAATTAGTCAGTGCGGGCATTTATTTAATGGCATTTGTATTATCTTGAGAATACCACGGATATTCTAGTTTCGCAACTAGCAACCAGTAGTATCTTCTATAATAGTTCATTCCCAGTCAAATAGAAACCAGAAGTCAGACGAGGATAGGTAGGAAAGATATATTTGATACGTTACCAATATATCGAGGAACCTTTACTATAAGCTGGCTAATGAACGTAGGAGCTGTGTCCCACGCCGTGTTGCAACGTGATCTGGTACGGATGCATGACCGAAAGCCTTCAGTTAAACAAGTCCACTTAAACAACGTGGTCAGCATCCAATGTCGAACACATAATGAGCTATTGATTTTGGGGAATTATTTACAGCTACAATCTGGATCCGGAAGCTGGCTTTACGTCGAATGGGAGTCCGTTGTATTCGTTAAGTTTACGACGAGCGTTTATACTTAGAAAACGTTTAGAATCGTAGCCAACTTCAATTTATAGTTATCACATAAATCAAGTTTTGAAAAACGTCCACCATTTGATTTAATGAACAAATCCTCATGTGAGGTTAATGAATATGAATGATTTTGTAAAGCATCGTTCAGTCCAGTAGAATAGTCAGTACATAAGCCGTTGATCCCATCGGCTTTGAACTACAACAACAGATGTCCATGGTGAGAAAGTAGTTCGTTGTATAACAGCGAGTTTTTGTAACCACTCGAGTTCTTTATCAACAGTCTAGAGTACGTATCGGCCCTGCAATCTGCCTAGCCCAGCCAGTTAAGCCCAAAACACCAATAACAGCCTCAGTGGTATGAATCACTGTATTTCAAACATACTTAGTTTATATACCAACCAAACAAGTCATATCGACCCATAAAATAGATAATAACATTTGTACAATATTTAGCCGAATATGACTGTGAATAGTAATCAACAAATTGATGATAACTCAAGAATCGTAATATAATAAGTCAAAGGTCAAAATAAAGTTAATGGTAAGAGAAATACGAATATGAATAGTTCAGTTACGTAATAATTGTACAATAGGAAGTAGGCATATTACATTGATCCATAAATAGACCTAAAGTTACCATTCGTAATTCTCTTCGGGATACAATAAAATCTAACTTCTGGGACACGCGATTTGGATTTTCAAGCTGACCTTATAAATTAAATTATAATCTCTTTATGATCGACTTTACACCATACATTTCATCGGTGATTTATACAGCGGGAAGTTTTAGCGAAATGTTATTCACCACAAAACCAGAATCTTGTAAAAGGTTGCTTTAATTGTGCTTGGTGTTGATTCCTGACAGTAACAGTATTGTGTTTGCATTATTTGACAGAATGAATATTAGAGTTTATTAAGGTTTCTCCTCTAGTTTCTATCATCGCAGTATCATATTTTAAATTTACCATGGGTTGACACTCTGTAGTAGTCATTTATAATGTCATTCCATTATCTTCAAAGCAGAATAGTAATCGTGTTTATACTTTGGAATCTGTGGGTAGTTGTAGTCTAGAAACAAATGAAAATTTAAACCGGTGATTTGATAATCTATTTAGTTTAAAGCGTTGAGCTTGTAGATTAATCCTGCTTGCCTATGCCAGACTATCTTCACCAACATCCTTGGTTAACTGGAGGCGTTTGTAACGAATATACAATAACGTCTGGTGTTCAAAATATCAACGGTTTCATCTAAACTAAACGTCCTTGCGTGATTTGGTAGGCTATGATTTCTTATATTTGTAGTATTGTTGTAGGCCAAATTTTGAGTCAGCAATCTTACCTTTGAATCGGGCCAATAGATATGAAGTGTCTACTATTAAAGAGAATGTAAATAAACTATGCAGTCCTGAAGAAATAAATATTGCACGAACCTACTCTAGTTGTTAGTTACCACAGATTTGAATTCCCTGATGCTTCTGTGTTTTCTAATGGACGAAACTTTCATGTTAAGTGTTCGAGAGATAGCCAGTGGTAGGAGAACTTCTGATCTCAGCTTGGATACACTGGCTGTATAACAGCAAACACACCGATTATGATGTTCTAGGATGAAAAAATTTATATGAAACCTTGATTACCTTTTATTAAGCGACAACAGCCAGTCAGTCAGTTACAACGTAGAACTTCATACGTACGTACATCAGTATGGGTTGCCATACCACATTAAAACAGAGATGCAGTTGTCGATTTAAATCCCATAGTGGTCGAAGTAGTAAGAGTATAAGCAGTAATCGGAAAGATTAGGGTTTGAAGATGTTATCCAATGAGTATATTGTAGTGAAATAAATTTGGAAAGTGAAAAAAAGATAGAGACATGAAGAATTGAGAAGATAAGAATTTGGCAAAACACAAAGAGTAAATGCCCCTACTCCATCGCTTTATCAAGTGACAAGAAGAAACTGATAATTGCAATGTTTTGGTTGAATAGTTGAACGATTTACGAATTTCAGATCAGTTCAGTGAACCAAACTATCAATTGAACTATACTATTCAATCAAGTTTTATTTATCACAATCATTGTATATCATATCGATATAAATTGTTGAATAATATATATTATCTGATAACTTTCATATCTACTCTTTTCTCACTCCCTATGGAAAAAGGTAACACTCAGTTCATTGAATGATCAAATCCGAATTGGTTCAGATGGTAGAGAATATTCATTTATTCGTGAATTAGCTAGAAATTTATCTGAAGAAGCTTATTTAGCTGCATCAATTAATTTAAAATTACGTAAAGACAATTTAAAATTATCCAATAATGGAAGTGACAATAATAATGAATATGCCAATAATGACAGTAACCATGATGATGATGATGATGATGATGAGGAGGAGGAGGAGGAGGAGGAGGAAGAGGAGGGTATACCGTTACCACCGATGTCTATGATTTTAAGCACTGATCAATTGGATCATTATTGGCATCGAGTTTTACTTGGTATAATTGAAATTCAAGTTGATACAGTAGTTGTAAATCAAAATGATTTTGGTAAGTGTAAATATTCGTAAACAAAAAAGTAACACTCACTATTTTAAGATACTCATACGCATCCTTGTGATGAATATCAGTTGCCTGTTTACTTATTATTGCGGTAGTTTGCTATGTACTCTATTATGACTATGAAATATGCCATTTGAAGGTGGAGAACACTAACAGGTCGTAACGTTTTGAATGTTGTATAGATGTCTTTGAATAGTCACTTTCGGAGTAGTGAAAACAAGAGGTTGAGGTTAGGTTTACGGTAATGGGCAAATTGATCCTGAGTTTACAACGAATAAGGGTCATGCAGTACATAATATAAGTTTACTGAGTTTTATCAATTATTAGGACATAACAAAAACGACAACGATTCACCATATGAGATTAACGTGACAACAATTCAGATATTTGAAAGTAGCCTTCTTAGTTTATTTCATATTTTATTTCAACACATACATATTGGTACAAATATATATTCGCCATACGATTGTGTGAGGTCTATGATATTGTCCGGGTGCCCAAAATGAAGCAGGTGGTTTTCTTAGGAAGCCACACCCAGAGCCTCTGACCTGAGGGTCTGATCAAGCAGATAGTGGGGCATCGTGAAGAAGTGCATTCCAATGGTAGCCGGTGACCAACGATTAGTTCATACAGTATTTGTTTCCTCAGGATCCTGGAGCCCATATGCACCATTGGTTTAGAATCAGGGTTTCCCAACTTCCCTAGATGGACTTATAAGTTCCAAATTAGGTTTGGCTGAAGAATGACTGTCTGGTAAGAGAAGAGACGTGTGTCTGCCAATCGAAGTCCGAACAAGGTGATTGGGGTAGCAGCGGTTCTAAATTCTATCATAAATACAAATATATGACCACCTAAACAAATATTACCACACAGTTATTCAATCAATAATTGTTGCCACAATAATCAATCTAAATAACAGTAAATAGATAAATTGATAAGAAATATAAGAGAATTGCTGAAAGCACCAAAAATAAGTATTATTCTATCCTTCTTGGATAGATCAATTGTTTCCGATTCTGGGAATGTGTTTCAATTCACAACCAAAATGTACGATCCCGGTCAAATCCAGCAACAAAATGAAAGGGAGCACGATCGATATGACTGCCGCCAAGATACAATATCAACTAAAACAACATAGATACAGTTCAGGAAGAAACATATAAACTCAGTTGGAGCGAAAGAGAAAATGCCAAAACTGTTATGAAATGAAACATTACAATCTCAAATGGCATCAAAAAGGTCAACAATAATGAACAACTAGGGAAGCCATTAAGAACAAGTTGCAAGTGTATGCATGGAGGGATTTTCACGCACGAAACCTTCAAAATGGATCTCATGGGACTCACCGTGTCAACCGATAGGCTTGTTAAAAAAGTCCTACATAACAAAAAACTTTAAGTATGTATTCTTAAATCCACACGACATGTCTGTTCTTAAAAGAATATGATTATCAGTATGAATGAATCGTACTTGAATATTGCTGAGATTTAAGAAGAGTTTCAATCCCGACATTTTATTATTGTAGTGTATTAAGATGTGCTCACATGTAATAAATCGATTCAATATCCGGCGCTAGCTTCGAAAATTAATAGTATTTAAGATCACCGATGATCACATATTCCTCCCTTTCTTTCATAATAGTAAATAAAAGTCAGATGATAAGTTTTGTTGAGTGATGGACGTTCAGTCAGAAATTCTACTCCCTTCTCCATGAACTCTTTGACTGTGATTTCACAATGAATCTTACCAGCAGTGTTTAGAATTCCTCCGGATGCACTATGCGATGACTAATGAGTTGACTATATATTCTTGGTCTCCCAATTTTCTCCTACGTCCTCCTGCTTATAGGTGTAATATCGGAGGTTGTGTCTAGCTGTAAGCGGGCACCATACACATTAATGTTGAGCGAAACATACTTACTACGATTATGGGAGCCGGTTCTGTTAACAGCTACCGTCACTTTGACTGTACGTGGCTTGAATCTTTTAGAATAAACTTTAGTTATAATCGAACGCTGATTGAATAAAATGCTTCCTAATGTTTCTTTGAGCTTGTCATGTCTATTGTAAGAAATTTGCAGGATCATCCCAACAGCAAGTATAAAAATATTTGATTATTTCTTGTTTCATTTCAGGTTCACGTTTATTGGTCCCTATAATATGTGCTACAATCTTATTGATTGCACTAATCTGTATCTTCATTATATGTTGTTATTCACAAAGAAAACGCCGTGAACTCCTTATGAAATATGCAACAACAACAACAATAGCGCCTAATAATGAACCATCATCAGACTTAATTCAAAATTTATCAGACAGTAATAATCATTCAATGAATGTAACTAATCCAATCAATATAACATCGATTCATCAAAATTACCCTTCATATCATCCACAATTCATATGTGAATCAACATTACTGTCGAAAAGATTTTTATCACCACAATTTCATCATAAACTAAATGGAAGGAGAGTATTAGCTCATAATGATAATGATAATATCACCAGTAATATTCCACAAGGAGTCTGTACAGTCAATACAAATCAAGTAAATATGAATAAATACAGTGGACCAGTTATGATTTAAGTAGTATATATGAAATTAATAAAAGATATGATATTGATATTCTACGACTATTATTGAAAGAAAAGAAATTGATATACGAACTGTCATCTAAGTTAGATGGAATAGTTTCACACTATTGCGGTGACGAATTGATGAAAGACATCAAATAGGAAGGAGAAGAATGTATTTGTAAAACCATGACGACGACTGAATTTGAAGTAATTCCAAGGAACAAGCATTGATCAGATTGCTAGGGCGAAAAGTTGAAGTCACTTCAGATTCATTCGTTGAGATTTTACAAATATATTCTTCTTTTTCATAGTTGAAAGCATGAATCAATTGAAGCTAGACCACCGAGGAAAACCCTGGAAGCACTAAACGACCGTTTTGATCATTATGGGACTCCTCAGTAGTGCACATCCAAAATTTCGCCTCGCGAGATTCAAACCCACAATAGAACGAAACGGCCGTTCAATGCTTGAAGGTTTTCCTTAGTCGTCTAGCTTCAATTGACTCATGCTTCCGACGATGAAAATAATCAATTTAGACAAAACCCCTTCCGATTGTTCTTCCCATTGAAAAGAAATTTAATTTTTGAACTGTAAATATTTTCATAGAAATTTATTGTAATTAAAACGACATTAGAGAATAGGCTTAACAGGAGATTGAAGATTTGTTAACCGATTCAATTTTGAAAATTTCTTTATTAACTGTTACTTACTTACTTACGCCTGTTACGCCCAATGGAGCATAGACCGCTGACCAGCATTCTCCAACCCACTCTATCTTTGACCTTCTTTTCTACTTCTATCCAACTTTTGTACATTCTTCTCATGTTTGCCTCCAGTTCTCGGCATAGATTGATATAAACATTGTAAATATTATTTTAGAACGTAAACCTTTCTTTCTTTTTTCTTTTTCGATTCTCTAACAAATTACCATAGTAGTAAAAAAGAAGATAATTAATCAGACTCAGTCACCTTTGATTTGAAAGAAAACATTGTTAATTAATCAAATATGACGTGGGACAGACACGGCGTTTTGGTCGGTATTCGATATTATCCTTAAACTTCGTGTACTGTTCACTTTAATAACCGTCACTAGATAACACCCCAACTGAGCATAAATCAGAAGGTGAATACAAAGGGTTGATTGCGTTTATCGTTGAAACACACACAGATATCTAAAACCGCAGGTACTTTAAGCAAGAATGAAAGAGAAGTGCTGAAAAGCAAGCAAGTGAGCGAGAAGATGATCGAGTCCATGAACGAGTGTGGAAATGAATGAAACATTGAATCAAATAAGCGACTAATAAAAAGGCTAGCAGAATGAATATATGCGTAGACAGTAAGCAATGCTCAACCATACATATTCATAAAAGTGCAAAAATAATAAAGGTACAATAGAACAGATAGGTTGTTACTGTACGAGTGACTCTATCCGTCAAATAAGCAAACAAAAGGGCTTAACCAATTCAAATATAAACAAACTCAATCGTACGTGAGCTGCTGCTACGGCATCAATGTACGTTGATTCCACTTGTTACAACCAACACAGTAAAAAGAGATGAAATGAATAAAATACATAATGTACTAGTAAAATGGTGGTCTATGATGGTAGAAAAAGATAAGGCAGAGAATATGATTGAATTCTGAACATAAGCAATATGTAGTAGTGCGTATGTTCGGGTAAGTGGTCGATTTTGATTCATGTTACCCAAGATTTTCAGTCATCGTGGACTCCAACTGGATAGTTTAAAAACAACCAGTGAGTGGTGTCATGAACTGATACCATGTCTTGGTTTGGGTACCCTTTGCGACTGCATCATATGGACGCAAAAGTACGAAGTAAATGAACTGAATATATTATTTGGTACCATCTCAGTTGCCCCATTTCATTTTCAACTGTATGTTCTACGTAGGTATCATTACCAAGTTTTGATTTGATAATTTTGAATAAATTGATCATTGGGTAGATTTTTATAAGTAAATAATATATTTGTAATATCCCAATGAGTAGAAAAATTAGACTTTCTGACGTTTCGTGACTCAGTGTAAGCCACTTCATTAGAGAATACATAACCAAATTCATTTGGTTATTTGGTTGTGTATTCTGTAAAGAAGTGGCTTACACTGAGTCACAAAACATCAGAAAGTCTAATTTTTCTTATCATTGGGATATTATAATATATTATTTATTTATATGTCCTACGGCTTAAATGTATCCGCCTGTATGTTTAAGTTAGATTTATAGTGTTACAATCTCATCACTCTGAGAATGACTGGTCAGAAATACTTATACTGTAGTTAGTTAATCGATAATATGCCCTTATTTTGTCTCATGAGTACCTATGCCTAGTGAATGCCCATCCTACAAAAAGCAGCCGATTGAAAGTATATGTATCTGTTGATTGTTGTGAGCACTTATGAAAGTACCCATGCAGTGATAACAAATTTAAGACACTGGCCAACTAGTCGAAAACAACAATAAAGGAAAACTAATGTCATGAGATAGTGGACTCAAAACGACTTATGAACAAGTTGAAATAGGCACTCAGAATTCTGAAGCGCTGAAAAACTAATAATATTTGAATCCATTTCTACTGATGAGTTCTACAGGTAGTTTATATTGTGTTAAATAGATTATTATTAACTTACTACCTGGTTCTTTATTGTCGGTCGGATATTGTATATATGAATTACGTGATCCGATTTAGTGATCGTATAAGTACCCATGTTTTTTCTGTACGTTTTCGATTCTTATCCAATAACCATTTCCCCTGATTCTTCCATCTTCTGATTTAACGGCCGTGGATTTTTGCACTTTCAAGTGCCGTAAGTTGTACGTCGTATTCTGCCGAAACCAAGTAGAGGACATTGTAGTACCGTGCTTCGCTAATCGTTCGCCGCGCTAAACGTTATAATACAAATCTTAACGGTGCATAAAATCAGAAGGCAAAGAGAAGCATTATAAGCAAGTTAGCCCAGCATTCCACAGAAATCAGGGTGGCATGTATAACATATGGCAGTTATCTTTTGCATTTTTAAAAAAGTTTGCAAAAAATTGGAGTCGCTAAAAGTTCTAATTATTTTCCAAGCTGAAATATGGCAAGTGATTTTCTGTGACGACACTAAGAGAGCTTTTAGCAAAACCTTTCCATCCGAAAAACAATGAAGTAACCTCAACAGACTCAGTCTTATGGTATCTGGTGACCAAAAAAGAATCATGCATTTGTTTCTTCAAAATGTTGAAACTCATATAGACCATTAATTTCAAACCAGTTTCTTACAAATCCTGTGGATGAACTCTCCGCAGTCACTAACACAATTTAAGAGTGAAACAACTAATTTCCTCTTGTCTTTTCACAGTAGTAATACATCCCTTGAGGATGCCATAAACAAGCTGCTAGATACGAACCATTTGATTGGAAGAGTGGAGACTCTTTCCACCATCAATCGAGTCAAAGTTGTAGAGGACAGAGTCTAAGTATTTCGGAGCTGGAATACTTCAAAATCAAGAAACTTATTTAAGTTTCTTATCTTTACGTCAGACCTCAAGTGTGAACAGCAACGATAAACACCTGGCTAATCAAATATATTTAACATAATTGTCGAAAATCTGACGCTGTAATAGGTACGTCAATGAGGTATTTGAGGTTACTTAGGCAAGCAACTTTCAACCATTCAATCGACAGTTCAAACCCATCTTCCTTTAGACGATGAAAATAGAATACTTGAAAGATGCAGACTGTATCAATTGTTCACTTTTCGGCACATCGAAAGTAGATTCAGATTTCAATCGGTTAAAGTAATACAAGTTTCCGGTACTCCGACTAATCTCTTCAGTCCAATTATCTGTAAGCAAACGAAAACTGATGAAAATGTGAAGTTTCATTAATAATTGAACAATAACTAAACAAAACATGATGATGCTACTACTTAGATCGTGAATAAAGTCACTTAATATGAAACAAAAAATGATCCCAGTTCAAGATGATGCACAATCCTTTATAAATAAGTTAGAACCCATTTAAATAGTACAAAGGAAATAAGCAAGTATATTAGATGCTTTGTTCATTTGTACTATTTAAACGGGATAACTTGAATTTGGTTATTTATTCTCTGAAGAATTGGCTTACACAGAGTCACGAAACGTCAGGAAATCTAATGTTTCTACTCATTGGGATATTACAAGTATTATTTGTTCCCTACAGTGTTCTGTCGGTCAGTTCGATTTCCTGGTTTGAAAGTAAATAATGGTCCTGCTCGAACTAGAGCATGATCCGAGTGTAAACATGTGCTTCAGAACGAGTGACAGTTTTCAATAGACCGCCTTCAACAATGAATGAACGATCTTGTATGTACGTTTGATAACGCGGAATTCCAGAATCCTAGTTAAGGTAGCCTGTTTTCATATCTGATACCAGATTTCAACACTATAAGCTCCAACATGTAGTTTGGAGCGTGGTTTCAGGAGACAAAAAATAACATTTCGTGAACTCAAATAATGAGCATCGGTAGCGTGTGATGATAAAGATAAATGTGAAAAGTTAGTCATGGAGGTGGAGGAATTATTGAGACGTGAGGCAGGGTTTCGACCATCAACAAGATAATCTTTGGTGCTCACAAGGGTATGTGGGCCGTTGTCACTTCCCGATACCTGTGTAATTGCTGGTGGTGGAGTGAGTGATGAGATCAATTCACACATATTGAAAGCCAGAGAGGTTTGGGACATCTTTGACATCTTCGTGGTGTTGGGCAGACTGTAAAAGATCGGATCTTCAACGCGTTGGTGAGTGCAGTTTTACTCTGTGTTTGTGAAACATGGACTATCCGAGCTCAGTATGTTAGACGACAATATGTGTTTGATCATCGTCGTTTTCGAAAGATTGCTGACGTCCAGTGACAACATCTCGTTAGTAGTGCAGAAGTTCGGTACCTTGTATTCGGGCGCAGCGATGATAATTCAGTTAGTATCACTATCTCAAAATATCGAATTCGTTGGCTTGGGCTTGTCCTAGG